GACCCCCTGGGGCTGTCACGCCGGCTCCCGTGTCTGGAGCACCCATGGGGGGCGGGCCATCCGGGCCCCAGCTCACTAAGCCAGAACTGAAAAGCTCTGGGACTAGCCCCACATGGGCCCTTTGTGGGGATCCAGACAGAGCAAGTGGACGCAACCCAGGTGGCTCACTCTCTGTCTAAGGGGAGACTCCCACACATGCTTGTCCTTGACCTCCTGTGTCCTGGGTCCCCAGCACGAGGAAAGACCACAGGCACATGGGGGGACGTTCATGACCAACCTGATGAGGACAGATCGCTCCCCCCAGCCTGTCCACCTTCCAACCTGCCTGGCGTGTGGAGCTGGGACTGGACCTGGGACCCCAGCCACCCCGTCCCCGGCGCGGGGCAGCAGGTGCCAGCGGCCTGAGCCAGCTTTAGCCCCAGCCCAGCAGGAGTCTCGGCTGCAGCCCCACTCCGGCCCTGGAACTCGGCACTCAGCACAAGGCGCCAAGCTCAAGCTTCTCATCTGTACGATGAGGGGAAAGCAGTTACCCAGCCAGGTCGTTTATGACAAAGAAACTGGAGGAGAGCCTGCTGCAGAGCCAGCTCATAACAGAGCCAACGCCGAGCACCGGCCTCGCGGGTGGGCCATCTCTGGGGCTGGACCACAGAGCCGGGATGGGAGAGGCCCTTCCAGGACCTGCCTGGCCCAGCAGAGGGGCCAGACGGTGGCTTGTGGTCTGTCCCCTTGCTCTGCAGCCCCAAGTCCTCCTCAGGTCACTGCAGCCAGCCCTTCTTCTTCCTGGGTTCAAGAGGGACCCCCACGGCCGGCCTGGCCTGCCCCTACTTCAGCCCCAGAAGCAGACCCCAGGGAAGTGCTCTGGGCTCCTGTTCACAGCCTGCCCTTACCGACTCTCCCACGCCTGCAGGGCAGTGTCAGACCCTGCTGAGCCCTGCAGGCTACCCTGGACCCGCAAGGGCCCACACCCCAGCAGCAGTCCTGGGCCACCAGCCCACAGGCCTGAACCCGCTTCTCCTCCCTCAGGGCCAGGATACATTCCAAACCCCCGGGTGGCCCCCGGCTCAGCTCCCCGGCTCCCACCCCAGCCCCTCCAAGACACTTCCCCTTGTCACTCCAGCTGCCCTCCGGTCCTCACATCCCTTGAGATCGGGGCTTCACAGCCTCTATTCCCTCTGCCCGGACACTCTTCCCTAACCTCAGCTGCACTGGCTCCTGCTTGTCGCCCAGACCTCTGCACTGGCGTCACCTCCTGAGCGACACCCTCCCTGGCTGCCTGACTGGAAGCTGCATGCAGGGGTGCTCCCTCCTGTCCTGAGCTGCCCCAGCCAGGGCTCCTGCCCGCCAGTGGGACCCAGACAGCCCTCCCGCGCACCTGCTCCGAATGCCTCGGGGCCACAGACCCGGTATAAGACCCTCTCCAATGGCCCCCTTGGCCCGGCCACTCCCTGCGTGTCACAGCTCTGAGGACCAGCACAGGCCCGCCCTCTCCACAGGGCGGGGACAGGGCATCAGTCCAGGTCCGGTCCAGGCCGGGCCCAGGGCCAGACCCTCTGTCCGGAGGCTGAGCTCACGCTTTGGGATGTGGCCACTGCCCCGATTCCCAGAGCAGACTCCAGCTTCTTACTGCTCCCCCAAACCACCCCAGGCTCCCCCCGCCTCTGCCAGACCCCCCGCTTGGTGCCCCGGGACCCCTAGCATGGGGTCCCAGCCTCAGATGGGGAAGGCACTTCCAGCACCTCGGAGAGCAGACGGCCAGTTCCACAGGGCGGGGGAGGGGGGCCACGTCTTCCCGCTTCCAGGCCCCCCATCTCCAGAGGCCCTTGCTATGAGACCCGAGGAGGGACAAAAGCAGCTCCGGGTGCAGAAATCTCCCGTCTCCCCTGCCCCCTCGCAGGGTCTACTGCTCCTGGCTCTTCCCCCTTCCCTCATGGGCGTCCAGCTGCAGCCTTGCACTGCCATCAAGCCCAACACAGGGCTTGGGGGCGGGGCTCTCTAATCAATGGGGCATTCACGGAGTGACAGCTCCTTCCTCTCCCTGGGCCAGGCAGAGTCAGACCACCCAGCCTCCGCCCTCAGGGGCTCCTGGACCACCGTGCAGCGTGACTGGGAAGCCAGCAGCAGGCCACACTGCGGCCCACTCCCACTCCCTCCGGGGACTAACATGCACCTGTTCAAAACGGCAGCAAAGACAACACGGCGGTCACCCAGGGACACACCCCCCAGAGACCCCAGTAAAATGTGAAAAAGGAAGATGCAAATTTAGGAACTACCCACGATTTAGCTGCTTAAAACTCATGTGCAAAAGGAAAAAAGGCTGGAAGGAAATCCATCGCATGGTGGCTGTGACTAGGTTAAGGGGGCGTAATGGGTGTTTCCTCCTTTATCACTTCCAAGTTCTTCTGTAATGAGATTAGGGACAAGTGAAAAGAAAAGAAATTACTCTTTAATGAGTTCTGTACCTGCAGGCACTTCACGTTCATTAACTCACTTGATCCCAGCAGACATGTTATTATCCCATTTGTGGCTCAGAGAGGTTAAGCAACTCTTCCAGGGTCACACAGCAGGGGCAGAGCTAGGAGGGGCATTAGAGCTGGATCAGAGCCAGCATTCAGGCCCCTCTTGATCAGGGAAGAAGGAACCCAGGCAGTGCTATGGGGCTCTCTCCAGGAGAGGAGAGGGTTGGGGTCGGGCCTAGCTGGTGCCCTTCTCCAGCTAGTGGGCTACACAACCCCCCCTGCACCCCACCACACTCAGCCCACTTGGTGCCTCTGTCCACGCTCTTCCTCCACTGCCCGCACATCGTCCTCCTCTGCACTCTTATGTTCTCCCATCCTCAAGGCTGAGCCATTCACGCTTCCTCCAGGAAGTCTTCTGGGACAGCCCACTCGAGGTGCTCAGCCCCCCTGACTTCCCACAGCCGGGCAGTGAGTGCAGACGACCTCGCCTGGGGGACCACAGCCTCCTCACTGGGCTCCCCACCCCTGCTCTTAACCCCCAAGACCCATGCTCCACACAGCGGCCTGAGGGATGTGAACACCCAGCCGTTCCTCTGCTAACATCCTCCATCAGCTCCCGTCGCACTGAAACCCAGCCCGCATCCTCCACGACTGCCTCTGCTGCCCTCCCCAGCCTCACTCACACTCCTCTCTATGCAGACTCGTCTTCCTTCTCTTTCTTAACAAACCAAATTCACCCCTGCCTCGGGGCCTTTGCATCACTGTCCCCTCCACCTGGAGCATCCTTTCCCCATTTTCTCTCACCTGGCTCCTCCTCGCTCAGGAACGCCTCCCATGAATAAAGGAGGGTTTGCCACCTTGAAGGGGGACTCTGGCCTTCAAACGAGGCTGGACCAGGCAGGGGAGGGGGGGTCTGCCCACGGGCCGTGTCATGCAGCTGCCTCACCCTTTCTTGCGGGGTGTTTGGCTATGCCAGGGACCTAGTTCTGCCAACTGCCCCTGCCTTTGGCTCAAACTTCCCCTGACCCCACCCAGGGCCCAGATGGCTGAGTCTGGTCTCGGGCTGTTTTCTATCTCTCCAGGTTCTGTGCCCGTCAGGCGAGATGGACAGTGTCCCCCTGCTGGCTGGAGTGTCATCAAAGCGAGGATCTGTGCCCAAACATGCTCATCACAGCATCATTTATCGAAGTGAAAAATAAGAAACAATCGCAGCCTCCAACCACAGAGAATGGGATCAGAAAACTTTCCCAATTCCTTCCATCGTATTCCTTTTGACTGCAAACCCTGCAGCAGCTTCCCACTGTTCTCGAGATGGAAGCGGAACTCCCTGCTCAGCCCCAAGCTGCCCCTGCCCAGTCCACCCTGTCTCACCAGCACACTCCTCACTGGCCACGTTCCAGCCTCACACTCTTCTGCTTCATACCCCCCACACTCCCTTCTGCCACTGGGCCTTTGCACGTGCTGTTCCCTCTGCCTGAAGTACCTCCCTCTTCATTTAGTGAACCAGGACCTTCCATACCTCAGCTCACCATCCTCTCCTCAGGGAAGGCTTTGTGGCCCTCCAGGACCTGGTCAGGCCCTGGTCATAGGATCTCACGACACCCAGACTGGCAGTCTGCTGTGGGCCAGGACCACATTCTGGTTCTGCTCAGAATGAGAGCTCTGGTGGTTAGGACGATGTCGACAAGCAGGCCTTTGACTTATGTTTGTTGAATAAAGAGTATTTTACAGCCATTAAAATGACGCACTCCTATTATACTTAAACATCACTATCACGTGACATTTCCAGTGGCATGAAAAACTCACTGATCATCTTCAAAGGAAAAAGGAGACTGTCAAGCTGTATATGCAGCATGATTGCAAACAGGGAAGGAAAAAAGTGGAAAGACAAATCAGAATAACAGCAGTTGCCTCGAGGAGGGGGATTACAGGCAACTTTACTCGTATGGAACTTTCCCAAGGTTCCACAGGAGCTGCCTTCCTTCCATCATCAGAAAAGCCAATAACCAACAGCTGCTCTCCACCCACTTGCTGTCCGGGCTGGCGTCCCACAGGCACCCTCTGCCCACCAGCAGAAAGGCCAGAAGTCACGTGAGGAACGGTTACAGGCATGGCTCTGGGTGGCAGACCAGAAGGCCGGTGGGGAGACGAGGCTGGCTCCACCAGAACAAGCCCAGGTCCCAGAGGGGAAGGAACGGGCCCCGGGAGGCGGGTGGAGGCTGGAGTTTGAATCCCGGCTGTCTTACTGGCTGAGTGACCTTGGGCAAGGCACCAGGCCTCCCGGGACCACCACCTCCTCACCCCGGGTGGAGCCGACAGTGGTGCTGCCTCCCGGAGCCAGGGGAGCGGGAGGAGGAATGACACACACTGAGCATGCGTCAGGGCCTGTCGCCAGTTAATTTTTAGAGGGATCACGGTCAGACGTATAGATCCGGGTACTGCTGGCTTCCCGGCTGGTCACAGAGCAGCCCGTGTTCCCAGGGCTTTTCCAGAAGAACCACTCTGCCACCGGCGCCTCCCCCAACCACCCTTGGCCCCACACACCTTCCTTGGAGCCCGTGGCCGCCGCTGCAGCAGAGGCCGAGGGAGACCCGGTGGATGTCCGGCCCATGGGACTCGAGTGCTTCCCCCCGCGGCCGGGGGGCTTCAGGCCGCTGGGCTTCTGCATGGCGGTGCCACTCTGTGGGTGGATGACGGTCTGTGCAGGTCACGTCCTCTCCGCCATCGTCACTCACCTGCGGGCAGAGAGCAGAAGCGATCATATCACCACGTCACCAGATGTCAGAGCAGCCCGGTGGGACACAGCGGGATTCCAGCACCCCTGAAACTGGGCATAGGGAAACTGAGGCACAGAGCCGTGGCAGCAAGTGTGGACCCAGTGTGGCGGTGGTGTTGCCAGGACACGGGTCCTGGTCTGCTGGGCTCTGAGGTCGGGCACGCTCTCGCTGCCCACCTCCTGGGCCAGGAGGCAAGGGTGAGGAGCAGAGTGGCTTGGGGTCGGCAGCGATGGCAGTATTAACCCCAGCAACCTTGTAAGAGGACCACACACGTCAGCACAGCCACCAACAGCTGAGTGCAGCTCTCACCGCAGAGCACGGGCCCATGCGGATTCTGATACACAGCAGCAACCCGGTGGGTCGCTTTCCAATGGTGCCCAGACCCTTTGGGACCAGCCAACAGCTCACATCCCTCCCAACGAGGGCCAGACAAAGCATCGCCCAGTTTCATCAACCAGCTCACTGTTCCGCTTGCCTCGGGGGCCACACTCCAGCTGCTGGGCTCACCGTGCCAGCACCCGTCCCCTCCCTCAAGGTGTGGGGACACACACCTGTCTCAATCCCATGCCAGGATGGACCCATTGTGCCCTCTGCCCACCCTCCCACCATCAAAGCTCCCTGCCTGTGACCAAGCAGAGAAGGATGCGATGTATACAGCGCAGGGGGACAGTGGCATTTGCCAAAGGGGACCCCGAGAGGGGAAGCCCCAGGCTCCATGGTGATCAGTTCAGGGCACAGGTGACAGCAAGACAGGACTGGCTGCAGGGGAACTGGAGGAGAGGCGGAAAGGACAGGCCCACTGCCCCTGGCCTCCTCCCCCGCCCTGTGTGCACGCCCTCTCTTGCACCAAATGTCAGTGGAGGATGCACCTAGGCCCAGGCCGCCGCCTGTCCCACAGCTGCAGGCAGGACGTGGCCTCTGCCTTGGGCAGCACACCGTCCAGTGGGGAGAGGGCACGCAGAGCACCGCGGGATGGACAGAGGATTCTGGACAAAAGCATCACCCCTTTGTCACCCTGGGAACAGGGGAAATCGACATGCTCTGGGCGCTCAACTCTGATGCAGAAGGGAATGCCACACCCTCAGTCATGGGATGTTATTCCCTTTCACAAAACCCTTTTCTCCATTCTTGATCCCTCTGACTTCTCTGGGCTGACCCCTAACCCCAGCCTGGAGTGGACATGAGACCCAAGCCTGGCCAGAACCCCCAGGGTTAGCTGAGGGGTGATCTCGTGACCTGAGGAGCGTCAGGGTCTGGCCTCTGGCTGGAATTTAAGGAAGGGTGCTCTCCTTGCTCTGGGTGTAGACATTTGGTACAAGAGAGGGCGTGCGCACAGGGCGGGGGAGGAGGCCAGGGGGCAGTGGGCCTGTCCTTTCCGCCTCTCCTCCAGTTCCTTGCCTGGGTGTGGGATGGAAGCAAGGAGCAGCAGGGCCATCCTAGTTACCACAGGGAGAGCCTGCCAGGGAGCGATGCCAAGACGGAGAAAGCAGAGCTGAGTCCCTGGATTTGGAGGGCCTGGATCCAGCTGAACCTGAAGCTAGTCATTTGAGCTCTTCACTTACATCAGCCAACAAATCCTGGCACACACGTGCATCGTTTTCTCTTTTTGCCTAAACGTATTTGAGTGACGCTGTTGCTTGTAAACAGGAAAGTTCTAATAGAGAAGCCAGCCTACAATGCTCAGGGCAGGAATACGCAAAGCATCCTCAGAGCAGCTCTCAGGCTGGCAAGATGAGCCAGCAACACGGCTGCCTGTCCTAGCACAGCCACGAGGAGGAACAGCTCACACAGGGCTGCCAGGCATAAGAGAGAACAACAAGCTCTCCAAGGCACACAGCGGTGGCACCACACCCCTGTGAGCCACCAGGAGTCCTGGCACGCCTGCCAGCCCTGGCCCGGCCCCAGAGCCCACCAAACGGACAGTGCAATCCCTTGATGGACTCCTCTGTGCCCCGGGGACTCTGGGGCCAGGAGTCACTCGGCCAGGCTGCAGTATGAGGCGGCCCCCTCGCTCCCCAACCTGGCCCTTCACTGAGAGACCACCCTGTGGGTGTGCACGTCATTCTGCGAGCCTGGGCTGGCTGTGTTGGCATCCCCAAGCTGAAGAGGGACTCGCCGAGCCACCAAGGGCAAGGGAGCGTGGTCTCTGAAGACAGTCCCCCTGTGGGTGGCCAAACGAGCCCCCTGCTCCAGCAGCTCGGCCAGGGGTGCTTTGCCCGAGGAGCCGGGACGCAGAGCCCCGCGTGTGCGAGGCCGAGTGTGCGGCCGGAACTGCAGCGAGACACAAGGAGCCCACCCCAGGCCCGGGCCCCGGAGCACAACACCCTCTTGGAGGAAAAAGCTACAGGTCATACATCTAGTGAAGGATTTGTATTCAGGACACATGAAGTCTCACGACTCACCAACAAGAAGACGAACAACCTAATAACAAATGAACCAAAGATTTGAAGACAGTCCTGTGTTTTTTAACGACAGGATGCGTTCTGAGAAATGTGTCATCAGGCGATTTCGTCGTTGTGTGAACATCACTGAGTGTCCATCACTGAGTGTCCACAAACCCGGATGGGAGAGCCCACCACACACGCAGGCTATGTGGTACCAATCTTATGGGACCCCGGTCATAAGTGTGGTCCGTCATTGACCAAGCATCACTATGCAGCACACGACTGTACTCATTTCACCAACGAAGATACACAAACAGCAATAAACACATGAAAAGATGACCAACATCATGAGGCGTTAAGCGATGCAGACCAAAACCACAGAGATCCACTGTACACCAAGTGCAATGGACGAAAACAGAAAACTGACAGTATCAAGTGCTGACGAGGATGGAGCGCAATCAGGACACACGTATTGTTGGTGGAAGTGAAAAATGGCACAACCACTTTGGAAAACAGTTTGGCAGTTTCTTAAAAAGTTAAATATATCCCTACCATATGACCCAACCACCCAAGAGAAATAAAAACATACATCCATATAAAGATTTGTAAAAAGATGTTCATAGCAGTGTTACTCATAATACGCAAAACATGAAAACGTCCCAAACATCCACCAACTGGTGAGTGTACAAACCAACAGCTTATCTACACGCCAGTGTACAACTGAGCAACGAGGACAAACCTCAAAACACATCACACCAAGTGAAAGAAGCCAGACACAAAAGGCTACATATCGTATGATTCCATTTATCTGAGACTGCAAAACTACAGGCACAGAAAGCACATCAGTGGCTGCCTGGGGGTGGCAGCGGGGGCTGACTGCACACAGGCACAAGAGAACTTTCTGGCTGGTAGGAATGTTCTAAAACTGGATTTTGGCGATGCCTGCACAACTGTGTATTTATACTAAAAACCATCAAACCATACACTTAGAATGGGTGGATTTTATGTTATGTAAATTAAACCTTAACTTTTTTTTTTTCTTTGAGGAAGATTAGCCCTGAGCTAACTGCTGCCAATCCTCTTCTTTTTGCTGAGGAAGACTGGCCCTGAGCTAACATCTGTGCCCATCTTCCTCTACTTCATACATGGGATGCCTACCACAGCATGGCTTGCCAAGAGGTGCCATGTCCGCACCTGGGATCCGAACCAGCCAACCCTGGGCCACCGAAGCAGAACGTTCGAACTTAACTGCTGTGCCACCAGGCCGGCCCCAAGCCTCAACTTTAAAAAAGTTATATAAAAAATAAAATGCTTGAAGCCTCCCCACAGGAGTTAGTGTGACAGCCTTCAAGGTCCTCCTCACCCTCGCCTCCACGAGGGCCCTCCCTTGCCCACTCCACTCCAGTCACACTGGTTCGCACTAAGCGTGCTCCAGCCTCAAGGCCTTTGCACATGCTGTTCCCTCTGCCTGCTTTTCCCTCAGATATCCAAGTTCATTGCTCGTCTTTTTCAATATCTGCTCTAATTTCCCCTTCTATGATTATGACCCTACCCAGTCCCCCCACCTGCTTTGTTTTTCTCTTCTGCAAGAGGACAGGGAGTAGGGTCTACTCTGTTCACTGTGGCATCCTTAGTCCTCATGAGGGAGGCTGGCGCCCACAGGAGCTCAACAGATCACTCCTGAAGGAATAAACGAAGGACGCCCCCCCCGCCGGTGCCCAGCACTCAGGATGGGTGGCCTGTGGTGGTCACCCCAGCTGGCCATCTGACGCCACAGCTTTTCACACAGCCAGTCTGCCCTCCCACCAGCCAGCACACCCTCTGAGGCAGGGACCAGGCATCATGACTGAGTGCCTGCACTGAGGCCCCAGCCAGCCTTGCCGCTGACGACCCTTGCTTCCTCACCAGTCACCCGGCACCTGCCCACCTCCCAGACTCTGCCTGTGCCTTTCTCCCACCTATTTCACGTCACCTATTCCAACTACGCACAGAACACCTGGCCTGCCACCTCCTCCTCCAGGAAGGCTGCCAGGCCCTTGGGCCCACAAAGATCTCCAAATCACATGCTGAGCTGAGGAGAGAGAGGATCTTTGCATGTTCATCTTCATCGTGCCTCCTGGGAGCCCACGGGCAACCCCAGGGGGGGCCACAGTCTCTCCTGTCTGAGCCCCCAGCCCCAGCACGGTGCCTGGCACGGAACCCAGGACCCAGAAGCCCTGGAGGAGAGCGGGCCTGTTGCTCAGAGGACGAAGGCCTTTGGAGACACTCCTCCCAGGGGAGGCCTCTGGAGGCTCCCACAGCTGCCCTCCCAGACCCCAGTGATCCCAGCAGCCTCCGGTATGAAGAAACTGCTGTGCTCTAGGCCTCGAGGAACACGGCCTCCTCAGTCCTCACAAGCCTGCTGAGATGCTGGCCAGCGTCAGGGGGAGCACCTGAAGCTCAGGAAAGGCTGAGGGTTCGCCCAAAGTCACAGCCAGCTCCGCGCCCAGAACCAGACCCCAGTCCTGCCTCGGCTGCCTCCTGGTCCAGGCCTGCAATGGCATCTGTTGAGACCCCTGGCCTCCAGGGACAACG